GTTGTTGTTGTTGTTCTGTAAACCTAGTAATTGTAAACCTTTTGAGAATATTCCAGCAGCTGTAACAACATCTGGCACATAGCACGTGCTCTCTAAACTGTGTGGAGTGAGTGAATGTGGAACCACCATCACCTCAGGTGTTTGTTCAGATGATGATACTTCTAAAGCTCCCTCATTTTTGTCTGTCTTTCTTCTTGATCTCCTCATAGTTGATCCTACATTAAGCATGACTTTAAGCCTGCTTGTACCTCCAGTGTGATACTCAGCATGTTCTCAGCTGTGGTATTAAATTTAAGGATGAATCGGGTAACATTTAGTATTTTATCATACCTTAGGACTGCCCAAATTTATGTCCATTATGGGTGACTAAGATACTAATTTTCTTTTCAAGACACACACACATGCATACACCTTATGCATGCACACACACGTGTGTGTGTGTCTGTGTATGAGCATGTGTGTTTGGATACTTATGGAGGCCAGAAGAGAGTGTTGGATCCCTGGAGTTGGAGTTAACAGGTAGTTTGAACTGCCTGATGTGGGTGCTGGGAACTGAACTCAGAAGCAGTAAACTCTCTTACATATTGAGCCGTCTCTCTAGCCCCAGGTGTTATTTTTTCTATTGAGAAATCACAATCTAGACCAGTTTATGAATGCTCTAACTAGTCTCTTGTCTTTTTTTTTAATTTTAATTTTTAATTTATTTTATGTCTGAGTGTTTTGAGTGCATGTATGTAAGTGCACCATGTGTAAGCAATGCCCACCAAAATCAGAAGAGGGTGTCGGATCCCCTGGAACTGGAGCCATGGATGGCTGTTAGCCATTCCATGCGTGCTGGGAACCATGCCTGGCTCCTCTGCAAGAGCAGCCAGTGCTCTTAACTGATGAGCCATCTCTGCAGCCCCTAGTCTGTGTCTTAGCAGTGGTATCACAAACTGTTTTGAAGCTTGGGAATCTGCTGAGATACGCAGAGGTATGTCTGTTCTGGTCCCACTGGCCAGTTGTGCTGTGTAGACATAGACAAGACATGCCATCTAAGTGAATATGTCAACAGTTAGCAGAATGAGTGTATGTGGAGCAGAAGAGGGGATTCTCCTAGGTTTCTGACTTGGATGATGATCGATGGGGAGGACGCTAGAAATAATAGGGAATAGAGAGGTGCAGACTTTGAGGGCGAATGCTTAATGCATGTATTGGGTTTTAGGTTGCTGGAAGAACATCCAAATATAAATAAGCAGTTGGATGAAAGAATTTGAAAATTAGGAAAACGTCAAATTAAGAGGTTTTTTTGTTTGTTTTGTTTTGTTTTGAGACAGGGTCTCTTTGTAGTCCCCGCTGACCTGGAGCTTGCTACATACACTAAGCTGGCCTCAGTCTTAGCGAGATCTGCCTACCTCTTCCTCCCACATGCTGGGATTAAGAGTTTCTTACCAGAGATTAAGAGTTTCTTACCAGAGATTCTTACCAATATAGTACAGTCAGAGATTCTTACCAATATAGTACAGCTTTGAAGTCAAATAAGGAAGAGCAGGACAGCTGTGTGTAAAGGTGCTTACCACCAAGTCTGATGACTTGAGTTTGATTCTTGAATCCCACATGGTAGAAGGAGAGAGCTAACTCCTTCAAGTTGTCTTCTGACCTCCACATGTGCCCTGTGACATTCACACACATAAATAAACGTAAAAAAAAGTCAGTGAAGAAGAGAACTCAGAAGAGGAACCTGTGAGAAGATAGAATGATGTAAAATTAAGAAAAATGGGAACTGTTCCCACCAATGCAATGCAAAAGTGATACATTAAAATATGCCAAAAGACTATATTAACAGTAGCAAATCTGCAGAGAGAGAAAAACTGAATGTGCCCTTTGGACTGGACAGCTAAGGAGGCTTATATATAATCTTGGTGAGAGCAGTCTCAGTGGACTAGGAGATGAAAAGTGGAAACGGAACGAGGAGGGGACTGCGTTAGGGTTAGAGAAAGGAAGATCAGGTGGGAAGTCCTTCCTTTCTGTTTTCTTTTTTTTCTTTTTCTACAGCTGGCCTTGAACTCAGAGAGATCTGCCTGCCTCTGCCTCCTGAGTGCCGGGATTAAAAACATGCAGCACTATGTCTAGCCAAGGTGGTAAATTCTTAGGTAGCCTAGAATCCGGACCTTCCTTGCAATCCCTTAATGCCTTGATTAGGCTTAAAAGTAGACCTTAGATCGAATACTGACAATGGATTGCCGTAGATGAGGAACAGCTGACCCTCCTGGAACAGGGACCTCTGGCTGACTAGATTTACCAGAAGGGCAGACGGGGAATGGATGAGGGTGCTGACAACACAGTGGACAGTGACAGGGATGGCAGAGTATGGAGCCTCTAGTGGGAGAGGAAGGCTGTCTATCTGACGAGTTAGTATTCATGCTCAGATGCCGAGGAGCTCAGAAGGTGGGCGACTGTGACCAGTGATAGTCATGTATATAGAGATTAGAAATGCATGTGAAAATGTCTCAATGTCAATTGCTTTGGAATGAATTCTTCTGTATGAAAAAAAAATTAAAAAAATAATGATTAAAAAACAATAATTAGTAGATGTGAAAAACATTACCATTGAAATCTACCTGATGACTTTATATCCATGCTCAGATGCCTAGAAGCTCAGAAAGTAACCAACAGTGACTAGTAATAATCAGATATTTAGAGATTAGAAATGCATGTGCAAACATCCAATGTCAATTGCATTGAAAAAGAATTTTTCTGTATGAAACTGTGTATTTTAATAATGAAATGGAGATCTTTTTAAAGGTTAAAAAAAAAAAAAAGTAGACCTTAGATCAAGGAACTGTGATTTCTTAGGGAGACAGGCCATGGCAAGTTCATAGGTTGCTAGTTAGGACTCACTGATACTGCCATTTACATGCACAGTTATCTGGATTCTAGATCTTGTCATATAAACTCCTGTTTGTGAACTGTTTCAGAGATCGAATGGATTTTCGTATTTTAATCTGACAAAAACCAGTATAGAACTAGGGAAATGGGCAGGACTCCACAACTTTGGCAATCACTGCTGGCTGAGGGAAAGATTGTAAGAGCCAGGGCTGGTGCATGAACATAAAGAAACAGAGGCTTTCAGGCCTCTAGGAACTTGCTCATGAACTTGCAACAGTGGTGACAGCGTGCACAAGACTCATGCTGACTCAATCAGACAAAAACCCCAGCATAGAAACAGGGAAATGGACAGCAGGCCCCAACCCTAGCCAAGGAACTATTAGCAAATGATTACTGTGGGTGAGGGAGAGTAGGTCTTCTTTAAGGAAGTGATTCCAGATAGGCTGATGAGACTCCACCGAGAGCTGATCTTTTTTAAGGGAGTGATGTTAGATAGGCTGAACAGGCTCCAGTGGATGAACTCATGCTGAGGAACAACTGGGTATGCAGACTTGTATCAATAGGCCTTAACATATATGACAAAATGCATGAAGTCTTGTGGTAGGCTATGGGGGTGGTGTGGATAGGGAAGGGAGGCTAAATATGATTAAAAATTATTGTATGAAGCCAGGCGTGGTGGCACACGCCTTTAGTCCTAGCACTCGGGAGGCAGAGGCAGGTGGAGCTCAAGGTCCCTAAGCCCTGGGTGGGTGAAGTTTAATAAAGGAATCCTGTCCAGGGACCCATATTCTACAGTCTCTTATTTGCTACAGCCTGGTCTACATAGTCCCAGGTCAGCTGGGGCTACAGGGAGATCCTGTCTCAAAAAGACCCCCCCCAAAAAGAATTATTGTATGAAATCCACAAATATTTAATAAAAATATATTTTAAAAAAGACTTTGTAAGCCAATGGATGGGTGTGATGTGGTACACACCTTTAATCCCCACACTACAGAAACAGAGGCAGGGAGATCTCTGAGTTTGAGGCCAGCCTGCTCTACATAGCCAGGTCCAGGCCATCCAGGAGGACTACATAGTGAGACCCTGTCTCAAAAAAAAACAAAAACAAAAACAAGCAAACATAAAACAAAACAAAAAAACCTATTTTGTAAGTCAATGTAAAAGAATTTCTCTTAATTAAAATTTACAGACTGAATGTCAAATGTTAAATGACAAATGACATGAAGAGAACCCAAGAAATATTTGTAATTTAGAACATTTTGACTAGAATTTAAAAAATTAATGTTTTGTGTTTCTTATAGGTGAAATGAATCAGAAATACAAGGAACTTAAAAAAAGGGAGGAAAATATGGATGGTAAGTGATGATCTTGGGAAATATATTTCCAGATTGCTATTCATTTATACCAAATCAAAGTTCTTATATTGAGTAATGGCTGTAATGGTAATGACTATAAATAAAAAACAATGGCCATTCAAAGCATTAAGTGATGAAGACTAAATTTCCATCATAATTTAGGGTTAGGTAGAAAATCCTAAAAAGGTGTGTATAAATATGTATCAGTATTTATATAGTGGAGATAAATTCTAAAGGTTAGGCCTGTAGACTCCCTCCCTTCCTAACTCTTTCTAAAATTTTATTTATTTTTATTTTATGAGTATTTTGCCTTCATGTATATAAGTGCACCACATATATGCAAACCCACAGAGGCCAGTAGAGAATGTCATATCCGCTGGAATTGGAGTTAGGGATGGTTGTTAGCTGCCATGTGGGTTCTGGGAACTGAACCAGATCCTTTGCAAGAGCAGCCGGTGTTCTTAAGTCCTGAGCCATCTCTCCAGCCCCCTACCTTTTTTGTTTAAAATATTTTTTTATTTTTATTTTATGTGTATGAATGTGTTGCCTTTATGTATGTAAGTGCATCCATGTCATACAATGGCCTCAGAGGTCAAAAGAGGGCATCGGATCCCCTGGAACCAAAGTTACATACAGTTGTTAGCTGCCATATGGCTGCTGGAAACTGCAAGAGTAGACAGTGCTTTTAACCACTGAGCTAACTCTCTAGCCCCAGCCCTGCCTTCCTATTATTTTTATTTTTTTACTTTTTAATTTTTATTTTGTGTGTATGAGTATATTGCCTGTGTGTGTGTAACTGCACCTGTGTTGTGCAGTGCCTGTGGAGATCAGAAGAGGGCATTGGATTCCCCTGGAACTGGAGTTAGAGACGGTTTTTAGCCACTATTTGGGTGCTGGGAATCGAACCCAGGTCCTCTGCAAGAGCAGCCAGTGTCCCCAGCTGCTGAGCTATCGCTTCAGCCCCTGCCTTCTTTCTTAAATGGGATCTTTTAATGTATTCTCAGCTGGCCTGGCTGGCATTGAACTCAGGAACCTCCTGCCTGCATCTCCCGTGTGCCTCAATTACAAGTATGCCCTGTTGTGCCTGGCCTAGACTGCTTATTGAGTAGATGTTGAGTGTTTTCTTTTACATTCTTCACTATGTCCACTTTTAATATCTCTCAATTTATTTTTTGGCTTTTCAGTACCTTATTATTATTAGCCCTTACCTCTGTCCTGTTACCTACTGTAATTTAGTAGCCTCCTCACGGTTTTTGTTCACTTATTAAAATATTTTGGCTTTACAAATACATCTCTCTCTTTTTTTCTTTTTCAATCATCATTTGCTAGAATCTGAAATTTTATGTGTCTGGTGCCAATTACTTCATTGGTGCATACTCTGAAATAGTAATTGTCAACTCTGATTTCACAGTAACCTAAGATTTCTTTCCAATTTTAGCAATGCCAAAATTATCTATAAATCAATTTTATAAATAAAAGTACTTTTGTAAAGGAGTAAGTATATAATCAAGAGTTGATCACTGCAGCGCCATGATGGAAATTGCTAGAGCGAACCCAGTAGGATTTCTGACATTTGAGGGTTGTTTAGTAAATGTTTACTGAATGAATGAAAAGAATTCCTGCGTTGGGGCTGGAGAGATGGCTCAGTGGGTAAGAGCACTGGCTGCTCTTGCAGAGGATCTGGGTTTGATTCCCAGCACCCACATGGCAGCTAACAACCGCCAGTCCATAACTTTAGTTCTGGGGGAACCTGATACCATCCTCTGACCTCCCTGGGCATTGCATGAGATGAGTGCACCTAAATACATGCACCCATCTCGTGCAGTGTATGAGGCAATACACTCATACGCATAAAATAAACATAATAACTTTTTTTTTTAAACAAGAAAAGAATTCCTGTATTACAGAATCTTAAAATTGCTGGTCACTTCTCTCAAATGGTTTCCAAAGTGCTTATTGTAGTTTGTTTTCCTAGAAAAGTAACCTTTGAAAGACAGTGTTCATTGATGCATTTTGTATGTATAAAAATCTTATGTGATCACTTAGTATATGATTAATGGACAATAGACACAAGATATTCATAACTAAGATCTGTAATTACATGTTGACACAGAACATTAAGAAATCAGCTTTTAGAAAAATGTGGTCTGCTTATTCGTAGAATGCTCATGTGTCCTTAGTCTTCTCTCCATCCTTCTTCATCAACTTCCCTGCAATCCGTTTACATGTAAACATTATAATCTAGGAGCTGCATGTGAGCGAGAACATGTTTTTTTTTCCTTCTGAGTTTGGAGCACCTTACTTAATAATAGACTTTTCAGGTCCATCCATTTTCTTGAAAATGTGATGATTTCATTTTTCTTTACAGCTGAATAAAATTCCGTTGTGCACATGTATACACCTTCCTTATCCATTCATTGTTGATGGACATCTAATTTTTGCTGGTTTGACTTTCTAGAAAATAGCTTGAAGTCCTAAAATATAGTATACAGCCTCTCTTACTATGTTTTTGAATTGGCAGCATTTATAGCGACATTTGAGGAGACTAAGACTCGGGAGCTGGAACGGAAGGTGCAGACAGAAGCCAGCATTGTTGCCCTGTTGGAGCATTGTAGTCGGGTGAGTCCCATGTGCCTGTCTTGGTGTTCTCATTTTCCAAATACAGCTTCAAAAGTAGAAGACTCGCTAGTGTTTTCTCCCACTTAAACTATTTCCTTTAAATTCTCTTATTACCATTTTATTCTTAAAACTATTTGTTTGTATCTTTAGAGCAAAGTCTCAGCTATTTGGGGCAATGGAGGAAAGGTGGCATGTATATCAATATTCAGCAGTAAATGAGGCTTTCATTAGAGTAAGTTTTAAGATTCTCTTCCATGGCTAGTTTATCTGAACTTTACTAGGGAAATCTGAAAACGTAGGGATTACTTTCGAAGATGTTCTACACTGTAATTGGTGTTGTAAAGATTCCTGTCTTCTAGATGTGCTCAGTGGACATCTTGAATTTTCAGAAATGTTCAAGCATTACTGTGTGAAGGAGGACAGTGTATTATTACTGCTGTCAGTATTCTCAGTGTTCTAAATCTGCATTCAGTTCTTAAAACTGTCCAGTTAATTTTTCTATAGTTTAATAACCCAAATAAAAAAATATGAATTGAAGCTGGTTGTGGTGGCACAACCTTTAGTCACAGCACTCGGGAGGCAGAGGTAGGTGGATCTCTGCAAGATCGAGGTGAGCCTGGTCTACATAGTGAGTTCCAGGCCAACTGGGGCTACAGTGAGACCTTGTCTCAAAAAGACCAAAAAAAAAATTATGAATTCATTTATGAGAAAACATGACTTTGAATCCTACTGTATTCTATAAAACATCAAAATTGAATGACGTATTTTAAAAACTGATACCCAATCAAAACATCTCAGCCTTTGTGTTTTCCAGTGGTTTTGTGGGAAAGTCAAACCAGTAGAATTTTTTCTATTTATTTTTCTGCAAATATAGAATATAAATCGAATGAAACAGATATCCTCTATCACCAATCACGAGCTAAAGATGATGCAGGATGACCTCAATTTTAAATCTACTGAGATGCAGAAATCACAGACTACAGCTAGGAACTTGACTTCAGGTAAGAAAAATAGCTTAGCATTTCATATTCTTTGTTCTTAATTATGGGTATCTCTCTGTGTGTATGTGTGTGCATGTGAGCACAGTGAGGGTGTCAGATCTGAAGCTGGAGTTACAGGCAGCTGTGAGTAGCCCATTGTGGGTACTGGGAACTGGATCGGGTCCTCTGGAAGAGCAGGAAGCTCTCTTAACTGCTCAGCCATCTCTCTAGCCCTTAAACTTTGATATTTTTCCAGGTTTACAATAGCCACAGGTTCCAGTCAATAATGTAATCCATGAGGTTAAGCAACAGACCCCCCTAGTGCACTCTGTTGCTGAGCTACAAGCTTCAGTAGGTTAGGTGTATTAAGTACCTTTTGAATTTTAGTGTTTTCATTTCTCAGTGAGTATATTAGGAACTAACCCCATCAAAGCTCCATTTGTACCTGCTTCATACTTGTACTTGCCCTGTCCTAGAGCTGTCAGAGACAAAACCGAGTGCTGCTTAAAGTAAGGACAGATTTGAAGCAGAGTAATATCGTAGTGCAGTAGAAAAGAGGGTCAGTGTGAACTGAACTAGCTCAGTTCTACAGAGGCGACTAGACATCTGTAAGGGAGAATGTACGCTGGGGACATCTCAGGTCCATTAGAGTGAGGGAGCTGAAAAAGCCTGAGATCGGTCAGTGTAAGTGCTAATTAGGCCAGCAGTTGTCTGACGTCAGGCAGATTCTGTCTTCTTAGAAACTGGGAAACAGAGGTCTTGATACTGCACTTCAAAAGTATAGCTTTCAGATATATGAAAAAGATGCTCCCGAGTTGTAAGAGATACATGCATACAACTCAAATGGCCAGAGGAGATGTATGGATGGATGTATCTTTCACAAGTCACAGTTTTAGGCACTTGTAGTAAATACTTCAGGAAAGGGTGGTCAGGGGCCTATTTTCAAGCTGGTTAGAACAAATAGTAAATTCTTTTGACAGCCTTAGGTTTTCTTAGGCAGGTACTTTATAAGTGGAACCATGGGTTATCCTTGGGAATCAGCCTTAACATGTGAGAACTCAGTGTCTGTTTAAATCTTTTAATATGGTTGAAGAAAGAAGATTGAAATCATTTGTGTCAAGAGTTTTGTGTCAGTAGGCTAGAGTTGAGAAAGGGTTTAGAGATCTTGACTAGAGTTTGCTAAGGGAGAGATGCAGTGTGCAGAGGTTTTTGTTTTTTTCTAAAAGTCTGATCTGTGTTCTCAAGAAACTTCCATCCAGGTAGAATGGCAAACAGTTATAAATAAGGAAGTGAAATAATCTTGTCATAGAAGTAAGTGTAGAAGTGTGTCATAGGTCACATATCCAGCCCAATCTTCAACAACTAGGAGAACTATCCTAGAGCCGATGATATTGAAGTAATTTCAGCCACACTCACTAGCATGTGACTAGAACATCACTGACCAAGGAAAAGGTTATGCCAACCACATGCTAATTAAAATTATTTTAAAACACTGAAAAGTGACAGGTGAATTTTATTTAACTCAAAGTATCCTAGAGCTATTTCAACCTGTAATCTGTAAAATGGTAATCTATAAAAAATGGTGAGATATTGTACTTGCACAATATTTTAATTCAGACTATATATATTTTAATTCAGCTGTATATGTCGGGCTGGAGAGATGGCTCAGTGATTAAGAACACTGGTGGTTCTTGCAGAAGACCCAGGTTTGAATCCCAGCAACCACATGGCAGCTAACAACTTTCTGTAACTCCAGGCCCAGGGGATCCAACAGCCTCTTCTGACCTCTGTGGGCATTGAACGACACGGGTGCACTTACCTACATGCAGGCAATCACACATATACACATAAAATAAAAATAATAAAAATTAAAAAAGCCATATATGTCAAGTGCCTGCACTTAGGGTGGTGTAGGTAAAGATGAGGTACAAAGTTGAGCTTAAAAGAAGGTGGGATGGTCATAGAGTAGTGTGGAACCTTTGGTTTATGTACTGACACACTGAGCCTTCTTTATTCTTAATGGCTGATTAAAATTCCACTGTATATATGTATCACATTTTCTCTATCCCTTCACCTGTTGATGGACATTCAGGCTAGTTCCATTTCTTAGTAATTGAAAATAGTACAGCAATAAACATGGATGTACAGTATCTCAGATTTGTTGACTTAAAGTCTTTTAGGTAGTTACCCAGTAGTGCTATAATTTTAGTTATTTTGAGGAACCTCCACACTGATCTGTACTGACTACAGTAGTTCCTACCAGTAGTGATGAAAGGTTCCCTTTTCCTCAGAGCCTCACCAGTATTGCTTGTTTGGTTTTCTTGGTGATCCATCTTAATCATTTTAAAATTTATGGTGTAACAGTGTTTACTGTATGCGTGTGGTTATATAATAGCGCTCTAGAACTTTTTCATCTTGCAAAACTGAAACTTTGTACCCATCAAACAACTCCCCATTCCTTCTCTTCTAATTGTTGGCAAACACAGCTCTACTCCTGTCTTTCAGTTTTGTTTTTATGAATACCTTGTACAGGCGGAATCACCCAGTGTGTGTCTTGTGACTGACTGGCTGCCTCACTAACCATGGGAGCCTAAAGGTTCATCTTTGTCATCCCTGTTCTTTAACAGGAGTGTTTCTTGGGAAACGTCTTACTGCACATATATACCAGATTTCTTTATCCATTCATAAATATTTAGATTGCTTCTCTCTTGTGTGAAAATTCTGTGAGGAACATTACTATAAAATATTTCTTCAAGATTTTATTTCTAATTCCTTGGGGTATTGAGTATTTTTAAATCTTTTTTCCCTGTAAACTAAAGTAAAAGAAAGGCTATAAAAGAAAGGCTGTAGAAGAGAGGCTGTAGAAGAGAGGCTGTGTGTTTTTAATACTTTTGTGCACCACAGTGCTTACATTTTTCACTTATCTAAGGCTAATGTTAATTCAACAAGTTTTTTCCTCCTTGAAGTTATCTTTGTGTAACAGCTATTGAGAAAACATTCATTTCTTAAAGGCAAATATCAATACCAGGAAACAAATTTGGTGATTAGGACTTTGTATTTCTTCCATACCTTTATGCTTTGTGTTTACATTTCCTTTGAAAAACTAGTAACTTCGCTTTCTCCAGAGTTGTACAGTTGAAAAACAATGAGAACTGGCTTCAACAAGACAAAGGTTCAGTTTATTACTATGATAAGACGCCCCCCTCCCCCCAGAAATTTTCTTTAAGAGTTGAATTCTGACCTATAATTTATTTCACTTAATTTTTTGTTTATTTATGGCCACAACTTTTTCTTTCCCTTACATCATTCCCCACACTCAAATTTGTTTATGACTATTACCACCGGAGGTTACAATAAGCTTGTGAACTTTTCTGAGATAATGTATTTTATAGTTCTCTTTTGTGAATTGCCTTCTTTTTTATCCATAAGGTTCTAACTGGAACTCACCTGGTTTAAAAAAGTGTATCATGTGTTTTTAATATAATAATAATAATAATAATACCCTTAGGGGAGCAACATTATTTCTTAGAGAAAGGGTTAAAAACAGTTATGTCAGAGGAGTGAGATGATGGATTAAATAAAGAGAAAAAAAAGCTCACAAAGGCTCCTTTGGGGGTTGATAATGCAAACATGCTGAGAGCCCCTGGCATGCTGCATGGGTAGAGGCAAGGGATCTTGTTAACAGTAGTTTTTATTTATATTTTTGGAAAGGAAACTCCAGGGAATAAACAAATATGCTGATGGCAGAATATTTCAGGAACATTTCCCCAGGTCAAAGTGGTTCCTCCTGAGATTTTGCTGCTATGTACACACTGGTTGGTAAACTTTGCAACTTCATAGCATATCAGAAGGAACTCGACTGCATCCTCTTCCTGTCTCTTCCCTTCGAGAAGCTCTTAGCTTTTCATGGGGACCTGATGCTAAAGGGAGATAAACTTCGCCCTCTGCCAACCAGTGTTTTCTCCTTTTCTCTGGAAAAATCAGTTTCTATAGTTCTTAAGTGTATTTCCTGAGTGTATATTCAAAATTACATTTGCAGTTAAATTTATGTAACTGTTTACTTCAGTTATCTAAGCAAAATTTCTATCTACATCATTATAGCACTATAGAGCACTATAGTAAACCTTACTGACTGTGTAGCACTTTAATTCTCATTATAACTGTTTCTAACCTTAGAGGAGATACAGTCCAAATTAAAACTTTTTTATTTTGATTTCTGCAGTAGTATTACTATGTTGCCCAGACTAGCCTTGAACTCAGAGCCCTCCCACTACAGCCTCTGATGCCAGGATGATAATGTACATGTACTTAGCTCCAAATGAAACTTGTTATGATAACATTTAAATCTTGTTGCACATATATTTATATGTTTGTGTACATTTGCATGTATTTTTAATGTATTTCAGTATGGTTGAATATGAAACTCTTGAGGATAAATGAAATACTCAAGGAATACTGATTTAATTATACCAACTTTAAAACATTTGGTTGTTGAACTGAGTTGGGTGTGGTGGCACATACCTTTGATCCCAGCACTCAGGAGGCAGAGGCTGGCAGATATCTGAGAGTTCAAGGCCAGCCTGGTCTGTGTACACAGTGAGTTCCAGGCCAGTTGAGGTTACAGAGAGACCCTGCCTGAAAAGAAAAAGAAAAAAATTGGTTGTATAAGAACCTCTTTTAAAATTTTTGTGTATGTGTATGTGGTGTGCATGTATACATGTTTGTATGCATGTGGGTGTATGTGTGTGTGGAGACTTGGAGTCAGGTGTCTTCAATCACTTTCCAGTTTATTGAGATGTTGTCTCTCAGTGGACCAGAGCCTTGTCAGTTCTGGCTAGTCTAAACAGCTGGCTTGCTCTGGGGTCCCCTGTCCCAACCTCCCAAGTGCTGGAAAACAGGTAGTGCACCTGCCCATTGTTTTTGTGGATTCTGGAGATCCAAACTCTGGTCCTTACACTTGCACTGCAAGCACTTTATCCACTGAGTGATCTTGTGAACACAACCCCCTTTTAAACTCAGTGACTTTTGAAGCACTGTTTTGACTATTTATACTCATTTAAAATGAATCGTAGGTGGGATTTACTGCCCAGTCCTGTTGTTTAGGTACCTTGTCACCTCTAGACTTCACACACAGTGCTCTCGCTGGAGCACTTTACCTTCTCATCCGTTCAGTTGGTCACTAACCCTGAAAGCCTCAGGTGAAAGGTCTGTTGGATTCTCTTGGCCCTTCCCACAATGCATTATGGCAACTGCACTGTTCTTTACATACTAAGTCAGTTTTTAGGAATGCTAGCTTATTTCCCTGGTACTTTCTTTAGAATGTTGCTATTTGGGTGAAACCAGTGTCTGTGTGGATCACTGTTACGTCCTCTAATAGCTGCTCGGAAGTTTGAATGAAAGAGTCAGTGATGCTGCTCTCGGTTCAGCCAGCTGTTGTTGCTCATTCTACTCACTGAAATTAATACTTGCAGTGAGTCCGTGATCATTCATGGGCATGTGCATAGTAGTGAAAAAATCCCAACAGACTAATGTGCATGTCCCCAGTAGACATTGCAAAACCAAACAATCTGCCTTTTTATTTCAGGTGGTATTGTTTAAAACAAAAACATTTTCCTAGGTATTTACCCCCCCATGACTGTGCTATTTTTGCTCCATTTACAGATAAATTACAGAATTACAACTTAATTAAAAGTTATGAATATGTATTAAACAAAATGTCCTGAAAAAAATGCAATGTTTGTGTAATGGTCCATTGGCTAAATTGTGACCAGAGACTCTCAGTTACGTGAAAGGGATAGAATTTTGTTTTATTTATTATTAATTATTATTATTATTAATTATTGGTCTTTTTGAGACAGGGTCTCCCTGTAGCCCCAGCTGTCCTGGAACTCACTACGTAGACCAGGCTGGCCTTGAACTCACATAAATCTGCCTGCCTCTGCCTCCCAAATGCTGGGATTAAAGGTGTGTGCCACCATGCCCGGCTGAAAGGGACGGCATTTTAATTATTGCCTTTTGTGTCTCAGACAGTCAGCGTCTGCAGTTGGATCTACAGAAAATGGAGCTCCTGGAGAGCAAGATGACGGAGGAACAGCAGTCTCTGAAAAACAAAATTAAGCAAATGACTGCTGACCTGGACACCTACAGTGACTTGGCAGCTTTAAAATCATCAGGCGAAGAAAAGAAGATGGTAATGCCCAGCAGATTCTTAGAGAATTGCCATCAAGTGCTTCTTCTCTTTTGTTTTTCACTTTTTGAGGCAGGGTCTCATTGTCAGGCTGTGTCTAACTTCCTTAGTAGCTGAGGGTGACTTTGCACTTCTGTCTTTCCCCTTCACATCAGATTACAGGCTGCTACCGCCACACTCAGTTTGCTGGAGACCAAACCCAGTGCTTTGTAAATGCTGGGCAAGCATTCTGCCAAGTGAGCCACACCCCCAAACCCCAAATAGTTTCTCCTTTCAATATATATGTACTTTGTAGGACTCCTGTAATGCAGAGCATTCAACATGTGAAGCTTGTCAGAGGCAAGTTTGCATTGTGGGGTCCACGCTGACTGCTGTCCCACTACTGTTTGTGTTCATTGAAAGTAAACTTTGTGGGACCAGGACAGTGATGGAGGTACTTATTCATTTATTCATAAAGTTCATTTTGACATTGTTTGTTATCAAAGGGATATTTCTGTATTTTTTGTTTTTTTGTTTTTGTTTTTTATTTTTGTTTTGTTTTGTTTTTTTGACAAGGTCTCCCTGTAGCCCTAGCTGGCTTGGAACTATGTAGACCAGGCTGACCTTGAACTCACAGAGATCTGCCTTCCTCTGGCTCCTAGAGTGCTAGGATTAAAGGTGTGCATCACCACGCCTGGCTGTAAATAAATCTTAAAGTAAAACTTTGGTAGATTTCTTTTTTCCAGAATAATGCTATTAAAAATTTTAAGCTGAGTGTGATTTAAATTGACTTCCTAGACATTTCCTATGGTTATTGTTTACTTCTATTTGAATCTAGAAATTACATCAAGAAAGAACAATATTATCAACTCGCAGAAATGCCTTCAAGAAAACAATGGAGAAGCTGACCGCGGATTATGAGACACTAAAAACACAGCTGCAAGAAAATGAGACACACATTCAGGTACAGTTGTTTAAACATGACTCTAGGCTTCCTTTGCCCTTTGTGCTACTTGTATTCTCGTGTTGTCCTAGATGTAGCCGTTATGGAACACTGGATAATGGCTTTGATAAATTTCAAAAGTAAAGCTGAATCGTTGGTGCAGAAACTTAGAAAACTCACAGAAACTACAAAAAAAACACCAAACAAACAAAAAAACCTGTAACTCTCACCAACCAGCAGACAGAATTCTTATCATTTTGACACTAGTCTTTTTGATGTGTGTGTTGTACACACACATGACATTATATGTCCATATATTACATGCATACACATTTGTATATATTTAATTTGGGACTTTGTTGTTTTTAAATACTTGTGTTCTTTGATCATCTCGTCCATGTGTAGGAGTTCTCATCCCATTGCCCTCTGCTGTCTCAGCCTCCCATCAAACCCTCTTCCCAACGATCCCAGTTCTACTTTGATATCTTTTTTCTTGAACCACTGAGTTTAATTATGGCCGCTTGCATGGGCATGAGTGTAGAGGGTTTTTGCTAGAACATGGTCAACTTGTCAGGACCTCTGGCACTGAGGAAAATGACAGTTGCCTCCTCCAGTGTCCATTTATTGCACATAGACCCCTAGTGAGGAGGCGGCCTGGAGCCCTCTCTCCACCCTCATCTGTGGTAGAATGTTGATGGACCCAATCTTGTGCTGTTCTTAGGCAGGTGCCACAGCTGGAGAGAGTCCATGAGTGCAGTGGCCATGTCCTGTCCAGAAGACCTCCACAGCACTCCTCACCAACCTCCAGCCTTTATGTTCTTTCCACTTCCCCAATATTCCGAGTCTAATGGAGGGGTGCATTGGAGGGGAGCTTGTGATAAAGATGTCCTGTTTAGGGCTGAGCACTCCAGGGTTACTTTTCTCCACACACTGACCGGTTAGGAATCTGTATTTTCTCCATCCATGGCAGACAGAAGCTCTTCTGATGAAGGCAGAGAACAGCACGTGTCTCCGAGCATATCTGGCATTATTTATTTAGTGTGTGTGTACACGTGCCATGGTGCACATTTGGAGGCCGGAGAACAATTTCCAAAAGTCAGTTTTCTCCTGCTACTGTGTAGAATTAAACTCAGGCCGTCAAGTTTGGTATCAAGTACCCTTACCCACGGTGCCAACTTGTTGGCCCTGTCATTTAAATTGAAATGTTATTTTTAATTACTACATGGTATTCTACTACATGATAAAGCATACTTTATAGAAACAATTTCCCGTTATTGGACAGTTAGGTAATTTCTTGTCTAAACTGTTCTAACAAGACTGTGAAGAAGAGTCCTAGTCTTGACTTTCTTGGTTCACATCTCTATGGACATGTAACTATACTACCCTTTTCATATCACTCATCTTGGTGGTATATATGCTACAGTGTTTAAGATCTTCTAAAGTGTTAACTGTCAGAGTACGATGTCCTTCCAGTTTATCCCTAGCGCCTCACTACTAGTTTGCACATGGTAGTGTACAATATTTTTGAATTATTGAAACATTGTATATCATATTCAAATTCAGTAGTTATGCTCAGAAAAGATTGTCGTGTCTAATTAGTGTGTATTAGCTCTTTCCCCATATGACTTAAAGCAGTGAATGTACTTTATATTAGTAGTGTGATCATGGGCCTGAATAAGGTCATGTGATTCACCAGTGCCCAGAGATAGCCATTAGTAGCACTTCACTGTGTAGTCTTGCAGTTTTCCTTTGTATTCATTCTTGCACGTTATATTTTTACTAAAATGAAATAATCCTATAAATACAGTCTATAAACATTAAAAAAAATTCAGCCTCTCTTTAATGATGCTTCTATCAGCTATCTCCTTATGTGGATATATTGTTAAGAAAAGATACATTATAGTCCTTCTGAAAGAAGTATAATTTCCTAAGAGTTTTCAATAACTGTTAAAGGCTTAAAATCACTATTTTATGTAACTTCAGTTTTCCTGTCAGTCTGTATCTTCTTCATAATATAAAATAGACTAGTGAGAAATTAATCTTGTTTGAGTGGGGATGAATGCTAGAGAAAAACCATAAAACGTTTGTGAGTGCATTGCCATACAAGTTCTTAGAAAAAAAGACTGATGATTCTTTTGGACAGTTGGTTCTCCTCTTCCACTGAATAGGTGCTGTGAGTTGAAAAGCACTGTGTAGACACCATTCCTTAGAGTCAGCCAATATGTTTTTTCCCATATTAAGTGTAGATCATATTATTATACTAACATATTAGTTACCAGAAATCATAACATAAGCCACAGTTTTAAGTACATTTTGATTTTGTCTTTTGTGAATCTTGAGCAATCAAATACAACCATTTTCACCTAATCTTTTATAACTTGAAAAAATTTTTATTTTATGTGTATGTATGAGTGCCTCCATGTATGTATGTGCACCATATGTGTGCCTGGTGCCCAAGGTGCCAGAAGAGGGCAGTAGATCCCCTGGAACTCAGTTGCAGGTGGCTGTTAGCCACCTGATATGGAAACGGAACCCAGGTTGTCTGCAAGAACAGCAAGTGCTTTTAACTGCTGAGCCATCTCTCCAGACTTATAGCTGTTTTTTTTTAAAAGCTGTTTTTTGACATCTATAAATAATTTCATATAATAGATTATTTAAATAAGTTACAAAGACAAAACAAGATTTTCAAAAATTAACTGTTGCTTTATGGTAAGCTTCAAGACACACTCAGTACTGTAGATGTATAATATAAAAGGGGTTTGACCATCTGACATGGTATGATTTTCTACCCTTTGTATAGCACTTAAGAGAAATGTTGCCACATGAGAAGGCTGTGTGAAACAAAGAGCAGCATGTCTGGTTCTTGACTTTGCAAAAGGTTTTTAAAGATGTATTGCCAAAAAGTGCCAGCTGCTTCCTTAAGTTCCATCTTAACTTCCAGGTCCTATTGGGACATACAGATCTGCTTTAATAAGTACTAGATCATAGCCCTTGTATTTCACACAGTTAACTTCAATTCCATCCTGATACCCAAATTTATCTCTTTGGAGGAAACAATAGATGCTTGTGCCCTGAAAACAATTTTAATGTGAGTGTTAAAAAACAAACATTTTTATCGCTTCTTCAATTATCAGGTTCTTTAAAATATTATCTATTTAGCATCCAGGCACAATAGTATTTTAGTGTTTGATTTTTCAGACAGTCCTTTACTTAGGAAAAACTATGTGCATCTTAAAAAAGAAAAACCATAATTCAGAGTTACAAGGTTAATTAAATCAGAAAAACAATTTAATTCTATAACAGTGAAATTGTCTTCTGAGGAAGCAACCATCAATATAATATCCACATTAGTTTCCTGTTGATGCAGAAATTACTGTAATAGTGCCAGCTTTTTACAAACTCCCTCATAATCTTCACACTGCAGCTCTGCTCTTATCGCAGCCTGTAAAATTAGACAGGAAATTTAGTGCTAGAAATAAGGAAGCTCTTCCTATATGGCCGAACCTTTGACAGCGTTAGAATATATATTACTTTAGGGACTTTAGACTTCCAGAACTCAAAGAGAGATTCCCATCGTGTCCCATTTTTCTAAGTTCTTTTAGGAAAAGGAAAGTCATAAATTGTCTTTCAGTTGGTGTGTTCATTGGTGTAATAAACATTTTCAATATTTTCTAATTAAAATAAACATAGTAGAACTGTTTATAGAATTCAGTATTTTCCTAAATGTATAAGCCGTTTTTTCGTCTTTCCTAAATTTCTTTTCTAGCTGCCTTAGCTTTATTTTAATAGGATAAAGGAGTTGATAAGATTTAAAATAGAGTTGGTTTTTACTTATCCTCTCAAAAGGTATGTAATGTGAATATGAGTATCAGTTAGCCTTTTTCTTTTGTGCTTTTTAGCTTACAAATTTGGAGAGAAAGTGGCAGCACCTCGAACAAAATAATTTCGTGATGAAAGAATGTATCCTTTAAACCTGCACAGTTGAATGGGGTGGGGGGGTTTCTAAGAATTTCTTTAAATGTTCAAATGAAATAAATTTGGCTCAACATGCACTTACCAGATATTTAATATATACGAAACTGAACTAATTATATGGGAGTCATAAATGAATATTATTATTTTTGCTCTGCAATAGTTTAGGGTGTGTGTGTGTGTGTCTGTGTGTGCGTTTCTGTTTACTCAAAAAACTAATACCCTCTGTACCTTAGAGTAACTTTATTCCAAAAAAGGGAGTATATGATGCAACATAGTGGTTAAGTACATAAATGTCAGAAGCAGGAGGTCTAATTTTGAATGTTGATTCTATATAAACTATAGACTGTGGACAGTTTTCTTTATCTGTTTAAGCATTAATTTTATCGTCTCTAAAACAGTTAATATGTCCTTATAGTTACTGGGAGAATTTAGATATGGTTATATATGTTAGTTTTTTATGGTGTTACGATTTGGATATCTGGGCAGCAAAGGGAGGTGACCAGTCAGGGTCATAAGAAATTTGACCTTTGAGTTCATCCATGTGATACAAGAGTCAACCTCATCTTATTTCTACCAAGACTGGCTTGTAGCCCACCTTCTTACATATTATTTTATGCAAGAGGCAGCCGCTGCTGAGGACACGCCTTGTGGAGGTACAGCAGACATCTCTGCAGAAGTACTTTCCTGTTGCCTTCATTGACTTGTTCAAGGACATCTGTCCTTAGAACAATATCCCGACTCAGGTAGTGTAGGTTCTGTGTTGGGATGCTGCTGAAGTTCACTGCAGGACCAGCACGCAGCTCAGCTTACTTCCAGATAGCATGCCTCGGGGACACTGTTCTCAGTAGTGGAATAGCTCAGCTTAAAAGTAGTCACAACATGCTTAAATTCCAGTACTCTAGATTTTTAAAATAATTTATTATTTTAATTTTATGTGTAGGAGTGTATTGTCTGCATGTATAAGTTCACCCGTGTCATGCAGTGTCTGTGGAGGTCAGAAGAGGGCATCGGATTCTCCAGGAACTGGAGTTAGGGACAGTTGTTCGTTGGGAACTGAACCTGGGTCCTCTGTAAGAGTAACCAGTGCTCTTAACCATGGAGCCAGCTTTCCAGCTCCCAGCACTCTAGTTTTATGCAGCATAAATCAGGTGATTTTGAAACACGGTGAAGTCTAGAAACTTGTCTGAAACTCTGTGTTGCATTCTAGAGAATGTAGTTTTTCTGAATGTTAGATTGTTTGGAGACTAGAATTAGATTGAGGTGCCTAAAATATGAAAAAAATCAAATGTTTATACTATAGGCAAACAAGTTTTACATGGCTTTTTAGGTTTCAATTTATGCTTTATTGGAAACATTCTATTTTAAAATTATCCTAATTATGCTTTTTTTGCACTATTCACTGTGAAATAATACCAGTATAATTTAGTTCCTTTTCTGAGTCATAGATTAATATTTTTATTGACATTGTTCCTCTTTAACTTGTGCAATTAGTCATAGCAACCAAGAGTCAAGAGAGTGATTATCAGCCTGTTATTAAAAATGTGATGAAGCAGATTGCAGAGTACAATAAAACCATCATGGATGCTCTACATAACGCCAGCAGAACCTGACCCTGAGTCAATTGATAGTCTGTAGAAGTGTCTTCCAGTCCACTAATAGTAAAGCAGCTTATCTTTGAAGAGTTACACCCAAATTTTTTGAATGCTATGATTCTTGTGACCTTTTTAAAAGGTATCTTAGTGTAATAGTTCAATAAAGTGTTTGCATGTAAAAAGATATTAACTCCTTTTCCTGTGATATTTGTATTTATTTTGTGGGAGTAATGAAAAATGTCTCGAAGAATCAAGAGATAAAGAGACTTAAAAGTGATTGTAAAGCTCACTTAGTTGGGCTGGAGAGACGGCTCAGCAGTGAAGAGTACATGGTGCTATCTTGCAAAGGACTCAAGTTCTGTTCCCAGAACCTACATTGGGCATCTCACAACTACTTCCAGCTCCAGGTGGATCTAAAACCTGTCCTCTCATGACACCTGCACACACACACACACACACACACACACACACACACACACACACACCTGTCCTCTCATGACACCTGCACACACACACACACACACACACACACAATTAAAAACAATAAAAATAAACCGTAAAAAAGGATTCATTTAGCTGAGGGGGTTGGGTGCTGGAGAGATGGCTCAGTGGTTAAAAGCATGTACTGCTCTTCCAGAGGACCCATGTTTGGTGCTAGGACAATTGATTATAGCTCCAGCTCCAGGGGATCTAATGCCATCTTCTGGTCTCTGCAGGCACCTACACATGTGTGCACACACAGTACACACAGATATACATAAATAAAATAATTTTTTTAGAAATATTCCTTTGGGCATATGTCCAAGAGTGGTAAGACTGCACCATGTGGTAGATGGAGTTCTGGCTTTTTCAGGGATCTCCACACTGATTCCCATAGTGGCTGTGCAGGTTTGCATTCCCACCAGCAGTGGATAAGAGTTCCCCTTTCTCCACATCCTCGCTAGCATTTGATAGTAGTTTTTTTGATCTTAGCCATTCTGACTGGGGTAAGACGAACTCTCATCATTTTAATTTGCATTTCCTTTATGACAAGATGTTAACATTAAAAAAAAAAAACATTTCTCAGTTGTTTGCATTGCATATTTTGAGAACTCCCTGCTCAGTTCCTTGCCCCAGTTTTTAATTGGGTTGTTTTGAGTTTTTGCTTTTTTTATGTTGAGTTTTTAGTTCTTTCTATATTCTAAATACCCATTGTCAGAGGTATTGCTGATAAGGATTTCTTCCCAATCCTAGGTGGCCTCATCACTCAAGTGATGTGTCTTTGCTCTACCAAAGTTTTTTAGTTTCATGAGGTCCCATTTGTCAGTTGTTGGACTTAATGCCCTTTTCAGAAAGTCCTGTGTCTTCAGTTCCACTGTATATCCTATTTTCTCCTCTATCAGATTCAGGATATAAGGACTTATATTGAGGTCGTTGATTCACTTGGAGTAGTTTTGTGCGTGATGAGAGATGGGAATTGGTTTTGACTCCTCTACACATACTGTCCAGCTTGACCAGTGCCATTTGTTGAGCATGCTTTCTGAGGTACCTGCTCATGCATGTTCATTGCTGCTTTATTTACACTGGCCAGGAAATGGAAACAACCTGGTTAGCCATCAACTGATAAATGGATAATGAAAGACTGGTACATTTACACAATGGAATATTATTCAGCTATTGAGAAACATGAAATTGTTCAACCTAAGGGACTTTTGGTAATTGATGGCTGCTGGGATGGGGGAAAGACAGTGTCTTACAGACATGGAACTCAGTGGATTCAGTGGATAGACCCACACTGAAGGACATTTGGGAAGACAAATCAGACTTTATAGGCTGTATCATATATAAGAGTGCATTAAACTGGGTGGAGGGCACTGGGAGGAGGTGCCGAAAGGGGAGGGGACCTAAATACCAGCAAACTATATTATATGAAAATAGCAAAAATTCAATAAAAATAAAAAAATAAATTATGAAATTCACAGGTACATGGATGGAACTGGAAACATCCTGAGTGAGGTAACTCAGATCCAGAAAAACACACATTGCATATGTGTTCTCATATGTGGATGCGAGCTTTGAATACTTGATATGTGTGCTTCAATTGAATAATCTATAGCTGTCAGGAAACTAGCCAATGGCCATGGGGGCAGGAGGAGGTGTCATGGAGAGGGAGATGAATGCAGTGATATAAAAGGGGAGAAGGGACTAATGGAGCAGGAAGGGTTAAGTGGGGTGGGGAAAGGGAGGGCAGACGGGGAACTAACACTGAAGCCCTTTAGAAAACATCATAAGGAAACCTACACTATAGGAGTTTCTTAAACTATGTACATGCACAATATAAAGAGAGTAGAGAACTAAGAGAACTCTCTCTAAAGCTTAGAGAACTAAGCTTCAGGGGATGAACTCACACTGAGGAACCATCTAAGGACACAAACCTGACTTGATAGGCCCTAACATACATGACAGAATGCATGAGATCTGGTGGGGTTGGCTATGATGAGGTGCAGATATGGGAGGGGGTCTAAATATGATTAAGATATATGAAATGTGTGAAGTTCAATAAATATATTGTAAAAAGTCATATAAAAAGTAAAAATAGATTAAAAGGAGTTACCCTATAACAAGGGGACATTGCCGCTACTAGACACCATAGGCCAGAAAGGAACAAACAACCCCAGTAGGAGGAATGGACTCTCATTTGAAGCTGTTGATCAGGGGTCCCAGACCCTCAGACGATGGGCCCCTGCTCTTGGTTTCCCAACCAGAACGTGACAGTAAGACCCTACTGCTGAAGACACCACATGCGCATCGCAGAACAAGTGAGTCAAGCTGGTACTGACTTCAGAGCTTCATCTCTGCCAGCTAACTTTCATCAAGTTGGAAGGTGCAGTGCATGTGACAGAAGAGAAAAAATAATCATCTACCTTGTCCAGCTGTGAATCTTACAAGCTACAGCAACAGCTGGCCTGGCAAGATGTACCCACTGTGCAATAGTGGCACGAGTGTCATGGGAGCAACTCAACTACGTTCCGACTGGATTTAAGGTCTGCTTCAAAAGATGGAGCCCATGTCAGGCCTAGGGACCTGTGGCTAACAGGTCACAGGCATTAGGGGAGAGACTACTGCTATTTTTTAAATGTAATTCAGACTTTATTGCTTACTAGTTATGTCCTATACAATTTTAAGGAAACAGACTGAGTAAATATACTGGGGATGTTAAACAGATAGTGGTGTTTAAGTTGATGAGCTTGAACTTGATTGATGAAGATGTTCAAGTGTTCATATGCGACAACAAGAGGCACCAGTGCCACCATCACTCCCGGAGAGTTGGACGTTTCATATGAAAGAGTAACAACAGTTCATTGGCATTTAGCTAGCATTTTCCTTTGTAATCTAAGAACCACAATAACCTTGACCCATTTCACAATTTTCAAAGCAGAACAAAGATTTTCTTTTTCCATTTTAAGATGTTTCTTTAACATCTTGGAATATTACACAATGGAATATTGCTCATCCCAGTTCCAGAAAACCAACAGATCAACATGATAACAAAAAGTACACACACAGAACCTGAAAATGAAAGATGTCGTAGTCTGGTGGTCCTTGATTTCAATAGTGATCCAAGTCAGCTTTAAAATGAGGCTAAACAGTCTCGCTGTAATTACACCCACTGTGTAGTTCACACAATTTACCTGAAGCCAAGAATAACTATAAAATCTGTGGATACATCTCAGTCTGCTCTTATGCTAAGGTAACTTCTTTAAAAGTTATTCTGTTAAACTGTGGCATAAATGACATAGGTGAAACTTGACAGTCTATCAGTCTACTCTTCCAGATGTACAACAGGGGTTTGAAGTGTTCTTAAAACCAGGGAGCACACACAAAGTCACCGCAAATTACACACAAACATCAATGACTCTCCTAGTAAAACATTTCCTAGTGATTTTTAAAAACCAAGCATGTATGACAATTCAGCATTTGAAAGACTTATATATGTACTATTAAGAAGACCCAGAAGTTGAAAATACATTTGGATACTTGAAAAGACACTGTCAAAAACAACAAAAAACCCAAACAACAAAAAACCAAGATTTGAAATGTGGTTTTATGCTGAACCCACTTGAAGACCTTAGTTACCCAACAAGAAAAACACTGTGGCCTATAAATAGGACTTTATTAAATTCATGGTCTCTGACAATACAAAAATTAAATATTAAGACATCTTTTACTCTCATCCAAAGAGAAATATTTTAAATAAGAGCACTTATTCAAATGCTTTCTAAAATATTTGGCAAATTTGCTGTGTGTGTGTGTGTGTGTGTGTGTGTGTGTGCGCGTATCGGGTGTATATGTGTATATATATGTATGCACAGATCCATACATGCACATGTGCTTGTGTGTGGAGACCAGACATCTACACTGTGTCTTCCTCTACCACTTTCCATCTTATTTTTTGAAACAGGGTCTCTCTCTCTCTCTCTGAACCTGGAGCTCCCTACGGAGCCTCCTGTCTGTGTCTTCCCGGCCCTGGGTTTCAGGTGCAAGCCCCTGTGCCTGGCTTTTTACACGAGTGCTGGGGATCTGAACTCAGGCCTTCATGTTTACACAGCAAGTACTTCACTGACTGAGCCATCTTCCTTATCCTCACTTTTTAACTTCTATTCTCATCTTGCACACATTATTGAAAACTCTCAGGATCAAATACCCTCCCCCAAATCAAGAAAAGTATAGATATGAATTTATTAAAGAGATGCAATTTGCTGCTGAAAAAGAAAGAGAAATGCCAAAGAGTCATATAAAGTTCAAATCCCAGGATTCAAATCTCTGAAGCAATTTATGCTTTTGTTATTAAGCAAAAAGAGACAAAAACGTCAAGGGAAGCCTATTAATAAGGGTCATGCTCTGGAATAATTGCAGACTCGAGATTTGACTGTATTGGACTGACAGTTTGAAAAGGGATTTGTTCTCCATTAGAAATGATCACATCTAGAATAGGACCATGTAAGTTAACACTGATTACTAATCCTCACATTCCAGTCTGAAAACTCAACAGGCTTCAGGAAGTACTCTAAGCAGTTACACTTTTACTTTTTATTAAGGCAAGTTTGTGAAAATCATTTAGTTCAACCAAATCTCTTCAGGAACTTTTTCCTGACATTTTTCTGAGAAACACAAAAGAACTGTACTTTATAAAAA